AGTCAGTCTGGTCATAGTGGAAACTTTTAGGTAGTTAAGAACCACCATAGAGGCATTGCCAGGGAAAAGGGAACTAAAAGGAAAAGTGGAAACAGGGCACACTAATATCCCAGGGAATAGAATTTTGCTGACTTCTTAATTTTGCATACAATCTATTTTCATCCCTCCTTTACCAACTCTCATAATATCCATAAACTCCCTAGAAAAGATAACACAGTACATAATAAATAAATATTTATGGAATGAATAAATAAACCCAGGCTTCTAGATGCAGTTATATTCTCCCCCACTTTGAATTCCCTACCCAGTAAAAAAAAGTCTCATGAAAAGAGGAACAAAAACTGTGCCTCTTGGCTGTGCAATTTAACAAATGAGTTTCATTATTTCATTATAGCAACTACCACCATAAAAAGAGGTGGGATATTTAGACACATACACAGTGATTCCCTCTACCAGATCCACTTCGGCAAATCTCAGAAGGAGGAAGGTGGAAGTCATAACCTTCAAAAAAGGTGAAAGATCTTTAGGGGAGAAAAAAGGGAGGAAGGCTTTTCTGACCATGTAAAGAAGTTTCTCTCAGAGGCTTAGGTTTCCTAAATCTAGCCTTAAGATGCCCCAAAGCTAAGGATTGATTATCAATTTGTTCTTTTATTCTTCTCTGGGGAATGAATACCTTTGGTAATAGGCAGGCAGCTTTATCAGCTTCTTTGCAGCATTCTTCAAAAACGTGTTTATATTGGTGAGCATAGTAAAGGAGTTCTGGGGCATAAAAGTAAGGATGTCTTCTGGCAATTTCATATAGGTATCTAAATTTTTAAACAGAAAAACAGACAGTCATTTTTCTATAGCAGACAATATTACAGGAACATTTGTAATTAACATTCTCCCCAGAGCCTCCAAAACCCAAAGACATCTAATTCACCAACTGAGTGCAATTTGTACATGATGACCTTGCATTCGTCATTCTTTAAGTCTGTGAAAAGGTTAAATTTATAACCACACATGCATAAAATAGTTAAATTTCTGTGATATGCTATTGACTAAGATGAAATAAATTCTGAGAATACTAAATATATATCTTTATAACATTTTAATAGATGCCAACTTCACATATTTTCATACAGATCATATCCTGTTTCAATCAACTCCTAAAGATCTTTGATGGACTTTTTTCATTGTGTAGAATTTTATAATATCAGATATTACTTCTTTGAAAATTTTGAACATTGTCATTAGAACAAAACCTTCATCTTAACATTGATAATATTTTTTGTAATAGTCATTGTTATAACGAGTCTTGATCTATTCCTTAATTTTTAATTTTGAAGCACAAAAATCAGATTACTTACTTTCCTCCAAACCTCTTTTCATTTTCCTGGAAGGCTGTGCACAAAGCTTCGGGTTCTGGCTTCAGTTTAGGGAGGTCTGGGTTATCATTTTTGTGTTGCAGAAAGCACTCATTTCTCTCTGCCTCTTGTTTCTCACAGCAGTCAGCCATCTCACCATAGGTCTCACGGAGAGATGCAACCGTACACAGTTTATTTCCAAAGAGAATATGCTAAATGGAAGAGAGCAGGATTCACATTGCTGGGCAGCATTTTATTTTCCTTATACCCAAAAAACAGTACTAAAAAATTCATATCCTAGTAAACTTTGGTTAGGAAATCATATAAAAATTCACTTTCTTTCCTCAGGTTTAGAGAGTTTCCCTTGATTTGACCATCTATGGGTAATTTTCACAAGAATTAACTTGACACTATTACTTACAGTGAACAAAACAGAAGGGCAAGAAGACAATCAATGGCTTTAAGGAATAAACATAACTCCTATTTCTACCTGAGACTAAAGGCTAGGAAAGTGATCACTATAATAAAAAGTCAAGGAAAAATAATCCTCTAAGTAATAGATGAATTCACATTAGGGAGGAAAGTGTTCAGATAGTGTCTTGTTTGAGCTGCTGCTTCTTAAGAGGTCCAACTTTTTAGTAAAGACCATTCAAAACTGAGGAGTAACACTATCTACTGTGTATTAATTAAGTTTTAATTAATTAAACATTAAAATACAGGTTTTTTAATTCTAGAAATACTTGACTCAAAGCACATTCCATTAAATGAATCCTTTCTGCCCGTTAATTTATATTATGAAAGTAATTGTAACTTCAGGGGAAATATTCTACTCAAGACAGAATTTATTAATTTTTTTAAAAGCATTTTTTAAAAATTCATATTTAGAGCCATATTATTGTGCAGAGTTAAAGAACTGATTCTGCCTTGAGGCAGAAGTACATATAGAGAGAAATAAGAAGAAAGGCTTCAGTGATAAATAAAAAATTGCCCTGTCCCCAGAAAGGTATAGATTAAGTGGTGAGAGAAACATAAAGCTCTATCCTTGTATTGAAGATCTCTCTGAAAATACCTTAAGTTCAAAGTCCTGATTTTTTTATTGTATGTAAAACATGAATATTCCTAAATGAGGAAAACATGCTATACTATTATTTTACCCAGGTAACAAAATCAGCACAGAAATCAGTTGAGTACTTTCTGAAGATAAAAACTATGCCATCATTAGTAGCCTCTATGAAAAGAAATCTAACTTCAAATTTTAAAAAGAGATTTCTACAAATGAAAAACTTCCATTTAAATATACTATGACTCTTGTGCGTGTTCTCACTAAAGAAATGTTTTAAAACTGTGGGTATAGCTAGGACATCTCTACTAGAGAAGAAACAATGGCTGCACCCACTTTTGAATGTTGCTTACAAATACAGCCATTTAGTAATACTTGAGAAAACTAAAATGTTTTTTTTTCATTTTAAACATTCAGGATTCCTTAAAAGAAGAAGAAATACTATTCAAAATCAGAATATACTTACAAGTGACTTGTCACAATCTGCAGCTGACTCATCAGCAACACATGTTTTTGCAAACTCAGTTACTTCATTCACTAATTTTACATGATCGTCAAATGGGCACTGCTGGAGATACTGAGAAAAGGCAATCAGCACCCTGAAACAAGGGACATAGAAAAGGGTAGCATAACAAAATTTTAACAGACAGTAGGTAGCAGTGCTAGAAAACAAACTGTGCATCTGTATATGTTCCCTGTTTTACACATCTTTTTTACTATTATCCAGAAAGCCTGTTCACACCAGCTGTTATCGGAGGTCTAACCAGGTATATGTGGCTTTCTAAGCAAAGAGGATGTATATTTCCACCATGTCTAAATATATGTTTGTGCATGTCAGTAGATACATACACACAGAGCAGGCAAGCAAAATGCATTGTAAATTGACCTAATTGTTAAGACTGGGGCATTACATCGGCCCCTTAACTATTTATTTGTTTGTTTGTTTGTTTTAATGGAGGTACTGGGGATTGAATCCAGGACCTCCTGCATGCTAAGCACAGTCTACCACTGAGCTATACCCTGCCGGCCCTTTAACTATTTAAAACAAAACAAAAATCACATGCACATACCTCATTTAATCAGGCTGTAGGATAAGACAGATCTTGAAAAATAAGCTGTTTTCTCACTTTTTAACTAGATTAAAAAATATTAAAATGGTCTCAAGAAACACCAGAACGATTTGCTAGGTAAAGGAATGTAGTAAGCGAGTTGTTAAAGGAATCATACAGTAAAATCTTTTCCACCATGCAGGTTATATAAGAGCTGCAGAGCTACACTGTCCAATATGGTTGCCATTAGCCACAAGTGACAATATATATTTAAATAAATTAAAATTAAATACTGTTTAACTTTTTGATCCTCAGTTGCACTTGCCATATTTAAAGTACTCAATAGCCACACGTAGCCAGTGACAACCATATTAGGCAACACCAATATAGAATATTTCCATCAATGCAGATAATTCTATTGGACAGTACTGTTCTAGAATCTCTGATGACAGGGGAATATAAGGACTTCAGAATAATGACCGACACTATTAGAAACATTAAATTTGATTCTTCAATATTTTAACTTACAGGCCTTTGAAATCATCTTCTCCCAAATCTTTAAACCGATGAGCAATCTCACTCTTGTCTGGGGAGGGGAAAAAAGGAGACAAAAAAAATAAAAAGATTTGCTTAAATTGTGAAGAAACAACTGTTTAAGATATTATTTTTTTCTGTTTCTCTCCATTTGACTTAGGTATTCATTTGTTTCAAGATATTGGGCTCTGATCTCTACAGAAAATCTTAGGATGGTGGTGAATTATTTCTTCTGCATTTAAACAGAAGAGTTATTTAATCACCAATGATGCTATTTGAAAAAAAGTCATTAAAATCATTAAATATTTATAGCTTTATATTCAAACTCAGATAAAAGCTAATGCTCTTGTAGTGTCTATTAATAGCTACTGGGAGGACAGTTCGAAGTGAAAAATAGAAATACAAGTTCTAGCAATAACATTAACAATGCAGGTTTTGTTTTGTTTTGTTTTGTTTTTGTAAATTAAGGTACAGTGGACAGGCCTTTGGGAATTTGAAGTTTTGAATTCTATCTTCAACTATATTCTGTTAAGTTTAAGTCACTCTGCATAAGTTCCTTCATGTGCAAAAGGAAATTATAAATACTAAACAATTCTCACTATTTTTTCACCTAGGATGTTAGAAATATATTCATAAAATGACTGCCTAAGGGTTCACAAATACAAAATATAACAGTCCAGAAATAAGCACTAAAGGAAAACTTACTTCATTAAAGATTCAAGGTTTGCTGACACTTTCTTTTACTAGGAAAATAAAATAAGTTGAACAATAGAAAAATAGAATTCTTACATGTATCTCGACGAAACACACCTCTGGAATAAACAGAGCTGAAGAGAAAGAGAAGGGAAATAAAAGTCACCCACTTCATTGTGTCAAAGGCTTGAGAGGCTGACAGAAGAGAAAAGGTAGGATGTGTAGAGGGAAATCAGCATTAATATACTTCTTTAGCCAATAATTGTAGATTATTAACTAGACTCATCTTTGTATTTCATTGGCTCACAAATGATTACAAAATTCATAGCATTCTTGCCAAAAAATTGTTTGACTAAATCCCTTACGTATGTTTGCCATCTGGAACTGTTTTCTCTACAAGACCTTGTCAAGTCATTAAAGTTATGTAAAACATCTTATCAATTTTTACATAAGAGTTTAAACGATTTGTACCATTACCATGTCCTCTGTCTGTGACTTGTCATTTGAACATTTTAGTTTCAATATTTGCAAAAATTTAACCGAACCAACGACTTAGCTCAGAAATAAGACATACTAAAAAAGAGCTAAGCTCCAAACTGTATCTATTACTAATTTCAAATATGCTTTTACTGATAAGTAATGAAAAATGTACAGACACACACACACATATTAGAGGGCTTCCATGCCTTTTCATTCTTCTGAAACTGTTTTGTCCGAAAAAGCTGACGTTTCAGATGCAAACTAAGAAAGCTATAGCAACAGTAACAACTCAAATGGGTATTCAGAAGTCCTACATTTTCATCTCAGCTCTAGCCCACATATGATCCAGGCCCTGGCGCAAAGTACTCAGAGGCAATGTGGCTATCTGTCATAAAACTTTCAGTTAAGAAGACATGAGGAAGAAAATGGATGCAATGGCAGTAATGATGATCTTTGCCATCAAAATATACACAGGACAGGCTGAGTCTGATTATGCCTTTAGGGGTTATAAGAATCCTAGATCTTCTTTACCAGGCATCATATTCTTTCCATCCCTATTTCATACTTTTTTCCTTTCTCCCTTTTGGATAAATTATGTCAATTTTTCTTTTTGCTTCCAAGAAAAAGTAGGCATCTTTCATTTGAAGTAAGTGTTCAACCCAAGCTTTTTCCTTATGAGTCTTCTGAGAAGGTCTGACCAAACATGGAATCTTTATCATTGGATATAATGGTATTACCAATTCACAGAATCAGACCTTTGTCATTCATACATATACTTTGTGCACATTTTTTATTTAACAAATGAAAATAATAATAGTCTCTCTATCTAATTTGCACTGCAATATTATATTGTAATATAATGGTAAATATAGAAAACAAAAAAAAATCAAATTCACTGTAATTCTAGAAACTTAAAATTGAAAGTCCTATGTTTAATGAAGGTCCCATAGTTTCCAAATATAAAATTGAAAACTCCTGAAGGAATCTTTCCTTGGAGTATCAATAATGTGTTTTCCACATGTGTATCCTTTTTAAAGATTAACAGATGGTTGAGAAATTAAAATATTTAATTCTTAACACTATCTGCTCAAAACTTATCTTAATTAATAAAAAACCCTTGAACATGTGGTTCCCAAAGTAAGGATACTTCCATTTTTCTCATATTAATTCTAAATGTACATGCTGTACTGAGAAGAATAAAACTACACAATTGTTGGTTATTTCTAAATACTCTGTTCTTCAACCTTTTAAACTCATATTCAGTTAGTCATCGAAGGAAAATGGTATGAGAGTAAATGTAATTATTTAAAACAAGAGTTATAAATATGGCTTACAGAATCTAGTTTCTTGGTAAATAGGAAACTAGCTCCAAAAATTTTTTAATGTTCTCCCATTTTTATGGATGAAATTTAAAGAGAGTGGTTAAGAAGATTACTTCAATATGGAAGGAACAATAATGTACTGATCATTTAGAAGAGAAAAAAATAACATTTGAAATACAACTGGGATTAAAGCTGACCCTTTATCCCTTTTGTCCAATATTTTTAAAGCATTCATGTTGACAGATAGAAAAAGCACAGTTTTGAAATAGATGAAATCTCGCTTGGGACCAGTTCCCCACTTCTTTGCTAACCCATCATAACCTTAAACCTATGCCCTCTGACTACTCTCTGCATTCCTGAAGCTTCTCACCAAGTCATTCAAATCAGGTTTCCCTCCATCTGTCCATCTTCTTGGTCCAGTCCTTATGTCATCTCCTTTTGTGATAGGTTACTACTTCTGGGTTGCTTTCTCTTAGAAATAAAGTGAAACATATGCATTAAAATGTGACAACCATGTCTGATAATAGCCTCAGTATTTAAACAGAGACTTTCCTGAAACAAGTACTTAACCCAACGTCATTCCAAAATATGGGAAATTGGATTTATTTGGAGAGAAAGCTAAGAAAGTAAAAATCTTTTCTTAGCGTTCTTCCTTCTGTACTAAGGACATGTGTGTGGATGTCCACATCCATGGACAGGTAAGATAAATCCTACCTATCATTGAAGGCCCTGGACTGCTTTCTAACAAATACAGAAGGGTAGAAAAGTGAAAGACCATTAACCATCAAACTAGCCAATTGAAACATGGTAAGCAATTTAATTTCTTATTCACTTGTGAAGATACATTTCCCATTAAAAAATAAGAAAATTGTCCAACATGTATAAACTCTTATAGGCATTTCTAATGCAAAAAAATTGTAATATAATCCAAATATCAACTTTCCCCTCATCTCCCTCCATAAACCATCCCTCTAAAATACCCACTTGCATTAGTGGGAAAACTCTTGGCTGAAAATGTCACAGAAGACAAAGAAAAGAAAGTTCACAGTATAAAAACCACACTAGATGACCATCATTGGTTTGTCCCATCTCTTAAGTCCTTCTCTCTTCAAAACTCTAATGGTAGAATGGTTCCTTATTCCACCTTTCCTCATATTACACTGGGTCTCTAGAATTTAAGTCTACTTTCACTCAGATTTCTTAACAATTTATTTCAAACTTCTCAACTCTTTACTATACAGTTTAATTCAGATCACTGTCAATTTCTAGCTCCAAACTCAAACACACAGATCTGTATATATTTTTATGACACGTGGGTCAAGTTGGATTAAATCATCTTTAAGGTCCCATCTACCTTGAACATTCTGTGATTCCATATTACCAATGAAACAGTCATAAGATGAGAAAAGGTCCTGACTGTGAGAATGAATATATCAATTTAGGGAACTGGGATCCAAATCTGAGAATATGTTCATTGCTAACTTGCCCAGTGGCCCCGCAGGCATTACTCTGCCTAGTTCAGGTTAACATTTTTAAGAAATGGAAAGGTCTTGAAGTGAGTTTGGTGGTCCCACAGATCTGTCTCTTGCTTCAACAGTGTTTGGACGGAACAGACCCAGGAATGCCCCTTGCTCCAGCCTCTAACCACCCTTCAACCTTTTTTCCAGTTGCATCCTTCAGAACCAGCCACTGTGCTATGATCAGCCTCTGGGACCAGCCAACACCATTTTGCGAGCTATAATCCTTATTACCCATCAACCATGAGCTCCCAGATACGTCAGAATTATTCCAGCGAGGTTGATGCCTCTGTCAACCATCTGGTCAACATGCATCTGCGGGCCTCCTACAACTACCTCTCTCTGGGCTTCTATTTCAACCGCGACGATGTGGCTCTGGAGGGCACTGGACACTTTTTCCACGAATTGGCTGAGGAGAAGTGCGAGGGTGCCAAGTGTCTCTTGAAAATGCAAAACCAGTGCGGCAGCCATGCCCTCTTTCAGGACGTGCAGAAGCCATCTCAAGATGAGTGGGGTAAAACCCAGGATGCTATGGAAGCTGCTACTGTCCTGGAGAAGAACCTGAACCAGGTCCTTTTGGATCTGCATGCCCTGGGTTCTGCCCGCGCATACCCACATCTCTGTGACTTCCTGGAGAACCACTTTCTGAATGAGGAGGTGAAACTCATCAAGAAGATGGGTGACCACCTGACTAACCTCCGCAGGCTCTCTGGTCCCCAGGCTGGATGAGTATCTCTTCGAAAGGCTCTCCCTCAAGCACGACTAGGAGTCTCTGCAACCCAGCGGCCTTTACGGAGCCCCTCTGGTGTCATGGCTTCTGCCTGAAGCCTCTCTGCAGTTACCAGGCAGCCTTTTAACTATCCTGGAGCCCTCTCCCAAGTCTTGGACCAAATAGAAACAATAAAGCTTTTTGCAACGGCTGAAAAATAAAAAGAAAGAAAGAAAGAAATGGAAAGGTCTTTACCTTGTCTAAATTACAGAAATAAAATGACACTTCCTTGTATTTTTATCATTTCGCCAAGAAAAATGTAACTAATGCCTGAAATCCGTATTTATCCATTCTTTGCATAAGTTAGCAACAAAGGGTCTATAAACATAGAAATTGAAATTAGTGCTAGTAACTCCCATCATAATAATAGCTACAGATGGAAATCAAACAGAAATTAATCCACTGCTGAGAATTTATATTCCGTACTTTTTTTCAAATGTAATTCAAGAGACTTACTATTTAAAAAAGAGATTGAAGTTACAAAATGAAACTATTTTTTAACCTTTTATAAAACAACAAAGGTGGTGTGGCTAAAATATGCCTATGTTAACACTTCTGTGGATCAAACTTAGAAAGTTTTTATTAAAGGATAAGCTTTTTTCCTCCTTGATGTCTTTTAAAGCTTACAATTTATCAGATGTTTTAAAATCTCCCAATGCTGTACTTTTACTAAAACTTCTCTGGTCTGCCACCCAGCTGAGCCTTGAAATTTGTCTTGAAATTCTTGTCAGCTTTTCAAGAATCTATGTATGGGCTAACATCAAGAAATGAATTATTTGATCTAAAAAAACTTGTAACTTTTGAGAAATGTACCAAATAAATAATTGGCCTAGTTTTCCTTCTTTTAAGGGAAATTCATCTCTAGCCTAATTATAATAAACTATATAACATAAATAGTTTCAAAATGATTTTAAGTATAATTATTGCACATAATAAGCATTGAATTGTTCAAAATTAGTTTTTCATTACATAGACATTGAAAAGAACTAAATTCTTTTATTAGAATAATACAGGTTTGCAAAAATAGTTACTTGATAAAATATGTTGCAATAAAAATATGCATTCAATAGCATAAAGAAGTAACTTCAGTAACATATGATGTTGACAATGGCACTCTCTTTCGAAAATTCTCCTTTTTGGGGCAGTAATTAGGTTTACTTATTTTAATTATTCTTTTTAATGAGGTACAGGGGATTGAACCCAGGACCTTGTGCATGCTAAGCATACGCTCTACCACTTGAGCTATAACTTCCCTCCTTTTTTGTTTGTTTTGGTTTTTTGTTTGTTTTTGGTTTTCTTGAGGGGGGAGGTAATTAGGTTTATTTATTTATTTGTTCATTTTTAATGGAGGTACTGGGATTGAACCCAGGACCTTGAGCATGCTAAGCACACATTCTACCACTGAGCTACACCCTCCCCCCCAAAATGCTTCTGATTCAAAGTTGTGCAATATTCAGTATATTTAATATCAATAGCTTTAGTTATTAGATGAAATAAATACAATTACTATTTCAGTTCAATTTCAATTTTTATGTTTATATTAGATAGCCATTCATTAAAATTATATAAATTAGCTTCTCAGCATTTAATGTCTTGAAAGCAAATGACTGTTATTGATGAGTTCAAATTTCTCTTCATTATTACATGGAATATTGGCAAAAAGTGCACATCAAGAATCATGGTATCTAGAAGTGAACATTGTCCTAGCATCAACAAACCCACTATTTACTTAGGAACACCAGGCTTCTTGCTGACAGGGCACAATTCTGAAAACAATGTTTGAGACTTGTTTTATTACTGATTGTAAAAAAAAGGCAGCACCACCTTGTCTTTCATTCATGCTCAGAATGCATGAATGCTCACTAAATGCCTAGCGTTGCCTAGGCTCTGAGGAAACAAAAGATTAATAAGACACAGTCTTGAAGGTCTTGAAGACTTTCCTAGGTCCTGAAGCCCATAGTTTAAATTGGGAAGATAGACACATAGCAAGTAATTACAATGCAACATTGTAAAGTATTGTGCATGTAGAACCTGAGGTACTCCTGGGCTGATAAGAAGTGTCAGAGGAGAAGCTCTAAATTCAAGGGCAGTCTTATGCATAAATAAGATGTGTGGGCTCTAACCCCTTCAGTTAACGGTGCAACTCAACAGACTGTAAAGCTTTAAATTTGTATTCTCTGGGTTCCTTTTTGCTTGTGAAGGAACTTCACCTAAAGAAATGGAATGTGTAGGTAGAGGACTGAGAGAAGAAGGAGGGTACAAATATGTGTAATTTCTAAATGATAAAAAGCCAAAATGTAGAAAGCAAAGAGTTAGGCCCCAGTTTAGAAGATAATGAAATTTCCTGCAGGAGTAAAAAGAAAGGCAGGCTGGTAAGCAGGAAAGAAAAGCTGAATTTGCAATTATTTGGATTTGCAGGCAAAGCTAGGGATGAGATTGATCATTTTAATATTATAAAGCCCAAAGAAATATATTGTCCTTGTAGAAAGCTACAAAACCTCTATGGGGAAACAGTTCCATTATTTAGTGATAAAACAGTGTTCCTTCTTAAAGCCATATTTATTTAACAATTCCATGTGCCTGGAAGTCTGAGAGGGCTTTTCCAAAGACATGACTTTTAAATTGAGAATTTTTTAAGTGGGCATGAAGTAAAAGGAAGAAAATAACCTTCCAGGCACAGGAGACAGAAAGCACAAAGAATGCTTGAGAAAAGAAAGAGCATGAAAGAAACTGAGAGAGTCTAGACACAGAGTTAAGGGGAAGCACAGTGTGAGATGAGATATGAGAGTAGCTGGCTTTGTATGTCATCTTAGCTACAGTAGTATTTTTGGTTTCTGTTCTAAAAGCAGTGAGAAGTTGAATTTTATTAGCCCAATGACATAATCTGATTTATGCTTCAGAAGATTACTCTGGCTGCAGTGTAAGGAAGAGACTAGAAAAGGCAAGAGTATATACAGAAAGACTAGCCAGGGGACGATGTAATAGTTCTAGTAACAGGTGATGAGATCTTGGGCTACATCAAAGGAACAGAAATGGAGAGAAATAGACAGGCTGAACAGATATTTAGGAGTGATAGTGGTCTAGAACCCAAGCAAGAGATCCCCTTCTCTAAAATCCACGCTTTCAAAGGCCTCCGCTGGCTTCTTCCAGCTATTTTCTGCCCCAGCTATATTCTGCTTCTAG